TGGGAAGAGGTGAAATCCGTGATTTAGTTTTTTTGTTTAAATGCATTACATCAAGCATGTCTAGCTGGAAAAGTCTCAATCCAAAGATTTAGTAAATGCATTTAGTCTGAAAGTATTTTCCCCATTCATTTCTGAGACTGAAGTTTTAAAATAGTCTTTGTTAAAGTGTTAAAAAGTGGAGAATGTCAAAAATTATTTGAAGCAAAAAAAAAGCAAAAAAAAAAAAAAAGAAAACTGTAATAAAAGACAACTTTACAACAAACAAACACACAAACACACACACACACACACACACACACACACACATGCACAAAAACCAAAAAATCAAATGAAACACTGCTCATTTGAAGTTGTTGGTTGTTTCTATAGAAACAGTACAGTTCAAGCCTATTGCAAAACATGCATGTCTTTAAAAATATTTCTGTAGAGAGCAGTAGGGAGACAATCTTAATTACATTATTTTTGGTGCTTCATAGGAGTAGGCGGCGCTAAAGGTCTATAGAACCTTTTCACAAGCAGCATTTAATGGTCATCATAATCTAAAAATCCTTAAACGTAGTATACTTATGTACATGTGCTTTTTCAGGCTTTTTATTTTTAATAAATTTGCAACAATTAAAAAAAATCTTTTTTCACATTGTCATTGTGGGTTATTATGTGTAGATTTTTGAGGAAATAAATGAATTTAATCCATATTTGAATAAGGCTTTAACATACAAAAATGTGAAAAAAGTGAAGCGCTATGAATACTTTTCCGGATGCACTGTCACTAATCACTTTTTTCAGAGCATATACAATCATTTAATAACTTTTGAGAACACAACAGGTCTGATTTTCAAGATATTTTATTTACTGTTAAAAGAAAAGTAATGGAATTGGTACCTTTACAACTCGATTGTTACGTTCTACACTCCGTTGCAAATGAATGACTGCTGTTCTGATGTATCTCCCATGTCCCTTATCCACTGCGATGCTTTGTATTTTGAACATTGGTAAGCATTTGCAGAAGTTTCGTTCTCTAACTTAACACTATGCATTTTTTTTGTCAAAACTGACGTAAAATATTTTACAAGGTTTAAAGGGATAGTTCACCCAAAAAAATTTAAATGATGGTAATAACACTACCTTCGTGTTGTTGCAAACCGAAAGACCTTCGTTCATCTTTGGTACACAAATTAGTAAGCAGTATTTTAGATGAAATCTGAGATCTTCTACAAGCCATTTAAGTTTTTTTTTTTTTTTGCCACACAAAAGTGTTCTTAGAGATTACAGTTGAAAAAGTAATTTTCATGTCTTGGGTGAACTAACCCTTAAAGCAGTGATGTAGGGCCCTTTAAGACCCTACTTAAAGAGATGTAGACCCTTTAAGTAGGGCCCATGTTGGCCCGTGGTAACCTTTGATTTGGCCCACCATCCCTCTGAGAATAGAGGAAGAATGGTGGGGATGGTTTCTAGATTGTCAATTCAATATTAATGTAACCCTTTGTTTGTTTGTTAAAAGCTAAGTGAAATGAAATGTTTCAATTAAATGGTGTATATTAATCCAATTTTGTTTAATTGTACGTACTGTCACAAGACAATACAGAGGTTTTGGTAAGCAAATCAAGTCTGAGGCAGATAGTGCTTGACTAGAGTATTCATTTCACTCTGCTGTGGTATAAATGTGATTGTTTATGTTTTTGTTTTGTTTGTTTTTTTTGCAATATTTTATAATTGAAAAAGTTTTAGTGCATCAGCTTTGATATAAAGTAAAGTTTTCTATTTATTTTGAAATATTAGGAAAGAAATTAGGAAATTTCCCATGGCAAATTTAATGTAATTAAATTTACCTTTGGTCCACTGTTTATAATAATATTTAGTTTTTGGCCCTTCATGTGAAAAAGTTTGGGCACCCCTGCCTTTAAGTATGCTCTCAGCATTCATTTTACACCAGGACACTTAGTGAAAACTCATGTTCATCCTATTATTAAACAGACAATACGTCAACATTAGTTTACCGTGAAGAAACTGGGCACCGCATCTTCTGAACTCAGACATAATGACTCAATGGTTGGCTTGGAGAACAGATGAACATGTTTGCTTCCTGCGTGACTAACTGTTTGTCTAACACCTCAGAGCCGCTCAAATCCAATGCCGGAGAGAGCGTTCGGCTGTTAGATAACGATAGGCTTAGGCATGGGCCGGTTTAAGATTGAGATGGTATGATAACCTTGGATGAAAATATCACAGTTTCAGAGTATTTTGTTTAGTACTCTAAAATAAGTTCTCTTTAAATGTCTGAGTAAAAAAAAACTTTCCCTTTAAACTTTTTTTTTTTACATTGAACATAATACTGCACTGCTCATGTCCATAGCATGCTTGGATGTTGATTTTTAAGTGATTTGTTTTTTCCAGATGTTTGCTGAATCGTTGGGTGACCAGTACAGAAGCTTTTCATGAGGATGGTCATTTGCTGCTGGAGATACTGTTGTTCCAAATAAATAAAATAGTTTTTGACATATCAAAAATTATAATAATTTTACATGTACAGTTGAAGTCAGAATTATTAGCACTCCTGAATTATTAGCATTCCTGAATTATTAGACCCCCCCCTATATATTTCCACAATTTCTGTTTAATAGAAAAAAGATTTTTTCAACACATTTCTAAACATAATCGTTTTAATAACTCATGTCTAATAACGAGACAACAGTACATAATATTCTACTAGATATTTTCAAGCCACTAGAATTATACTCATTGTATAAAATAAATTAGTTTGCTTTTATTCCGCCTGAAATAAAACACCAAAAGACTTTCTCTAGAAGAAAGAAATATTATAAGAATTATTGCAAAGATCATAAATAAAAAAGTATAAAGATTATTGCACACTGAATCCAAAATTTTGGTCTGTCATTTTCGCAGGTTAAAAAATAAATTCAACCTCAAATTGTGTGAATCGTATTGAGACACTGCCTACGGAATTTTCATCTAAAATAAAATTCAAATCGGGTTTGTTTATTTATTTTTCGCATCCAAAAAAACGATTTGAGAGGTTTTTCGACAGTTCAGAGCCACCGTACAAGCGAATGGCGAAATACAAAATGCCATCACTTGAACCATAGATAACTTTATGACAATAATACAAGACAGAATGTGACAGACAGTTGAGAACTCATGATGGATTCTGTGACTGGCACACCTCTTCCCTGCTGCTGTTTGGGGTGTGTGTGTATGTATGTGTGTGTGTATGTATGTGTGTGTGTCCATACATTTGACACACAGATATAATCGCCTCATGGTCCGCTTCAGTCCGTTGCTCCGATACGTCAACGCGGCCATCATCTATTATGATGTCTATAGGTATGCCAGTCTCTGTTCAGGATTTGTTTACGTACGTAAACATCTATCATAAGCAATGTACCAAAATTTGTATTTGGGGGTAATCCAGCGCAGTTCTTTGATAAGGTGGAGAATTCTCCTTCCTCTCTATGTAGGCTAGTATTGGATGAACTCAATATGTAGCCTATTCCTCTTCCTTTTTCTGGTTGTCATCCAGGTACTGCTTAAACAGACTCCGAAATGTTTTGTGATTTTTTTTTATTTTTATAAATGGATTAATTCATATGCATCAGACTCAATGTGCAAGGTTTGTTTACGTCACAAATTCTTTGCATATGAATATGAAAGAAACACATGCAAAAATTCGGTCTTCAGTGTGCAAAGATCGTTACTGTGTAAAACCCTCACTAGGGTGCTCAAGGGTTCATGGTAGTATGCTCAACTAATCCACATGTGTTTTTGTGAACTTGGAGAAGACATTCAACTGTATCCCTTGTAGCATTCTGTGGAGGGTGCTCTGAAAATATGGGATCAGAGTTGCACTGTTAAGGGCTGTCCTGTATGATCAGAGCAGGTGTTTGGTTCGCATTACAGGCAATAAGTCCGACTTGTTTCCTGTGCATGATGGACTCCGGCAGGGCTCCCCTTTGTCACTAATTGTGTTCATAATTTTTATGGACAGAATTACTATGCACAGCCTTGGGCCAGAGGGGGTCTGGTTCAGGGACCACAGGATTTCATCTCTGTTATTCGCAGACAATGTTGTTCTTTTGGCTTAATCGAGCATGGACCTTCAGCATGCACTAGGCCGGTTTGATGCCAAGTGTGTCATGGCTGGGATGAAAATCAGCAACTCCAAATCCGAGGCCATGGTGCTCCACCGGGAAAAGGTGGTTTGCCATCTCCAGCCTGAAGGACATTCCTTATCCCAGGACGAGGAGTACAAGTATCTTTACTTTAAGGGGAAAATGGGACGAGAGATTGACAGGCGGAACGGTGCACCGGCAGCAGTAATGTGTCGTGTTAAAGAAGGAGCTGAGCCAAAAGGCAAAGCTCTTAATTTACCGGTCAATCTAAGTTCCTACTCTCGACTACGGTCATGAGCTTTGGGTCATGACAGTAAGAATGCAAGCAACCGAAATGGGTTTCTTTCGCAGGGTGGCAGGGCACACCCTTATAGATAAAGTGAGCTCTGTCACCCGAGAAGAGATCGGAGTAGAGCCGCTGCTCTTCCACATCGAGAGAAGTCAGCTGAGGTGGCTCGGGCATCAGTTTCGGATGCCTCCTGGATGACTACCTAGGGAGGTGTTCCAGGCATGTCCCATCGAGAGGAGGCCTCGGACACGCTGGAGGGACAATGTCTCTCAGCTGCCCAGGGAACTCCTCGGGATACCCCTGGAGGAAGTGTCTGGGGAGAGGTAAGTCTGGGGTTCCCTCTGAGACTGCTGCCCCCATGACCCGGCCCCGGAAAAGCAGATAAAAATGAATGAATTACTGTGCAAAAAAAACAAAAAAACACTTGCTCTGTTAAATATTTAAAAAAGAAAAAAACAATCACAGAAGGGCGAATAATTTTTGACTTCAACTGTACCTTAGGAACGGTATAACAGAATTTTTTTTGTTTTCCAAACCACGGTAAACCTTGAAAGCGGTTATCGTCCCATGCCTAGATAACATACCTCAAGAGAGGGCAGTGCCGCCACACTGGATCCCGTCCCTGGATTAGAACCCACAACCTTCCACTCACCAGCAGCCCAGTGGGAGAGCGGGACAGAGGGTGGGAGAGTCAGAGAGACGCTCGGGGAGAGAGGGAGAGAACGAGGCAGCGGAGGAGTGCTGATTCGCTTTTGGGACTGTAAATGGGACGGGGACAGCGAGGGCGACAGGGGCGATGGAGCGAACGGCAGCGATAGGGACAGGGATGGAGAGAGGGACCGGGGACGGAAAGGTGGGTTACTCACGGATTGTCGGAAGGGTTGTGGGGGGGCAGTGGGTGGGATCTCCATGCTTGGCTGCTTCCCGGTGGCGATGCTTTTCCGCCGGAGCCGAGCGGCGTCTGAAAGAAAAAACAAGAGACGTATTAGATTCCACATGAGTTTTGACCAAAATCTGTAGGTTTTATTTTACAGACGGGCTTTACCATACGTCAAATAGTAGAAAATGATGCTAGAATGGATGCCAATTTTGACAGCAGTGTTGTGTGTAATTAGCTACAAAGCTAATTACTGAAATTAAATTTGTTTTCCACTGAAAAAGTAAGAGATTAATTTTATTTGATTTCTTTGCTATTTAAGTTACTTATATATTTGCTTAAATACTGTACATAAATTCAACAGTTCTGTATAAATTAATTAAGAAAAGCAGAGTAATTGTAAAACACTACATTTATCAAGCCTATTGCATATGCTTACGAAAATAAATATTGAAAAGTTTATGACATTATACGGTTTATGATATTATATATAATAAATACATTTTTCAACTAAATAAGGATGGATTGATCTGACAACAGTACATACTTAAATAAAAATGAAATGTTTTAGAAAATGAATGTCAATATATATATATATATGAAATACAGTGTCATTGCTTTGAAACGATTTGAGTTTTGATGCATACAGCAAGTTGTTTAAAATTTAAGTTCTTTTTTAACAAAATGAAAAGGTCCTGTTTGCCTCAAACTGAAAGAATTAAGAATTAAATTTCAATTGTATATCTATGGAATTTATGTGGAGTTTTAGTACAGAGTCAAGTAATTAAATTACACTTGAGATACATTTCAGACAAAATATTTAGAAAAGTAATTTAAACAAGGGTGGCATGATGGCTCAGTGGTCAGTACTGCCACCTCACAGCAAGAAGGTCATTGGTTCGAATTCCAGTTGGCATTTCTGTGTGGATTTTGCACGTTACACCCATGTTGGTGTGGATTTCCTTCAGGTGCTCCAGTTTCTCCCATAGTCCAAAGACATGTGCTATATATATATATATATATATATATATATATATATATATATATATATATATATATATATATATATATATATATATATATAAACATACATAAGGGTTTCAGCTATTTTATAAGAAATAGTAGCATTTAGTTTCCATATAAACTTTCAGATATAAATTATTACCCATTATTAATCATGGGTAATACTAATAAATGTTAATAAAGTATTTATACATTTACATTTACATTTAGTCATTTAGCAGACGCTTTTATCCAAAGCGACTTACAAATGAGGACAATCATAGCAGTAATCAAAGATGCTCATTGAATGGAATGTAATGTGTATTTATACAGTGCTTTTATTGTGTATGGCCATACACCCAAAGTGCTTCACAATCATGAGGGGGTCTCTCCACACCATCACCAGTGTGCAGCACCCACTTGGATGATGCGACGGCAGCCACAGGACAATAGCGCCAATGGGCTCACCACACAGCTATACGGGGAGTGGAGAGAGTGATAGAGCTAATTTGTTGGATGGGGACAATTGGAAGGCTATGATCGTAAGGGTTGATTGAGAAACTTTGGCCAGGACACCAAGGTTCCACCCCTACCCTTAACGAAAAGTGCCATGGGATTTTTAATGACCAGAGAGAGTCAGGACCTCGGTTTAACGTCTCTTCAGAAAGAAGGCGCCCACTGACAGTATACGCCCACCTTCACTTTTACGGGGCCATTAGGACTCACACAGACCACAGGTTGAACACCCCCTGCTGGCCTCACTAACACCACTTCCAACAGCAACCTAGTTTTCCCATGTGTTTTGTCATCCAGGTATTGACCAGGCTCAGCCCAGCTTAGCTACAGTAAGTAACCGGTCTTGGGCTGCAGGGTAATATGGCTGTGGTGACTAAAACCATCCTCACACATAAAACTCTACTTTGTTTCTTGAAAATAATGGACAAATGCTGGTTAAATTAACTAATTTACTTAATTAAATTAATTAAGTTTTGCATCTTAACCCATATAAAGTGGAGGAACTATGATATCCATTTGAAAAACTTGGAAGTGAGTTAGTATTTTAGCAGTTCCGGATCCCTCGCCCCAAAGTCAATGGTTTTTCTAATGGGAATTTGGTTAAATCCCTTAAATACAGTAAGGTTTCTGGCTAACACAAACTCAAGATGCTTTCCGTTTTATTCTACGACATAAAATACATCAGTTACATCTCACTCTGATTTATTAAATCACTTACGCTTCTTTAAATAGACGGTTGCTATCAAGTTGCTAAATGGGACTACAGGCAGTGTCGGAGGCATTAAACGTCATTAAGCTGAACTGGTCTGGAGCGCAGCTCGCTTGCATTGAACATTTACATTTGTCTGTTATTTAAGTATTTTCATGAATAGTATTTTCTAGTTTGTAGCATTTTTCAAATTGGGAATTAATATTGTGTGTAGATAATGCGTTAACTTTTAAAGACCGTCAAGTCAGATTAATTTGTTGATCATTTATTTAAATTAAACAGTATTATGGGGATACGGCTTACCAATGCAGCATGTCTTTTCCTGCTCTCTAATGGAAACATTGTGAATTTGTGTAAAAATACCTACCTATTAACAGTCATTTTAACGTGATCAATTGATTTTTCGTAGATTTTTTTCTTCATCTGAACACATTTAACTCTATCATAACTGCAGTATGTACACTCCTCCATAAAATGTATGGCATATGTGACTGTATGGGCTGTTTTTCGCTATATTTTCCTGATAAAAAAATTGAATGCTGTTGGTTCTCCTTGATAGAACTTGCAGGCGTATAGACTTGTCCCTCACGCCTCATTTCTGTCGTCTGCTACTAAGGTTAGCGGGCTGTGTGCACGCGAGCGATACACTTAATTAGTCTTATGATAATACTATGTAGGCACATTTATATATACATACAGTTTTAAAACTAAAAACCACAAACGTAAAGCAAAACAAATGTATTTCCCATGTAAAAAAACTCCAAAAGGTACATAGGTCTATATACAGATGTGTTTTTGCGTTTACAATATATAGCGTGTTTTATAATATAATAAACTGAGAGATTAAATCTTTGTCAGCGACCATATTTCTAAAAATAAGCTTGAAAAGTTGTCTAGAGCAGGGTGGTGCTGACGTCACAGGCGAGCGCCCTCGGCTGAAGTCCGTAAATAGCCTAATGTTAGCTTTTCAGTTCTTGCATTTGCATTTAAGATCCAAAAGTGCGTAAAGATGTATTTTCGTGTGAGGATTATCCGGCTGGACAAAACGTGTAAGTGTAATGAACTGTGTTTGAACACAGAGCTTGTTTGTCACGACTGTCAGTAACCACCTGAGGGCGCTGCAGTTCGACACGAACTCTGAGAGTGAACTACAGCGCCCAAGAACTACAAGTCCATACATGCCACGCGCACACACCGGAAGTCACTTACACTTATTTGTATTCACAGCTGTCTTCTTGGACTTTATAATCAGCCATTTCTCCATTGTTTGTCAGTTTGTCACTTGTCCTTGTTGGTGTGTGTTCCTGTATCCAGTTTTGTATCTTGTCATAGTCGCTAAGTCTAGTTCTAGTTTAATCTGTTTGAGTTCCTTGTTTGTTTGTTTGTTTATTTGATACTTTGATGCTTTGATTTTTGGTTCCTGTCACTGCACTAATTTCACATTAAAATCTGCACTTGGATCCTACACCCGTTTTGGTTCCTGTTTTATCCCGCCAAACGTGACATTGTTATATGCAATCTTCGAAAAAGCTTAATGCAAAAATCCTATAGGGATTTTATCGAGTGAACTAGTTTTATGCTAGCACCTGATTAGCCTACAAGGTGACGTCATAGTTCCTCCACTCTGTAACACTTAGATCATAATCTAAAAACAACAGACTGATGCAATCACTGCATCTATCATGAATTGCATGACCTTTAAGCAACTTTTTCATTGAAAATATCCTTAAAGGACATACAGTACAGTATACAAATTTGTCAGTTGTGCCAGATTGTTGTTTTTTTCAGCGAGAGATGAAGTTTGGCTCATCTTGTATTTGATGCTGCGACTGACACTGTGGCTCTGTCCCAAAACCAAGTGGACTGCCAATGTAGGCAACATTCCCAATGCAAATGCTGATCCAAAAGGTATGATACCTTCTTTTGGCTGTGGCGGTGAAGGCAATCCCATAATGCATTTCAACAAGAACAAATCCATCTAAAATGGACAATTACGCAAAAGGAATATCAATACCCAAAAACATCATTTGATCAATACTGACAATATCATTAAGTAATCTAACTTAAACACCACTTAAAAATGGCTACCTAATTATTTTTTATGTATTATTTTTTCTTATCTAGATAAGCCTATACAGTTTTATAAAGTAATTCATTTATTCATCTTCCTTCTGCTTAGTCCCTTTATTAATCAAGGGTCGCCCTAGTGTAATGAACCGCCAACTTATCCAGCACGTTTTACACCTTTCAAGCTGAAATCCTGTACTGGGAAACATCCATACACACTCATTCACACTCATACACTGCAGGCAATTTAGTTCCTTCAATTCACCTATAGCGCATGTCTTTGAGCTGTGAGGAAAACTAAAGCACCCGGAGGAAACACACGCCAACACGGGAAAAGCAGCCAACCTCCACATAGAAATGCCAACTGACCCAGCCGGGACTCGAACCAGCGACCTTCTTGCTGTGAGGCAACAGTGCTAACCACTGAGCCACCGTGTCACCCTAATAGATAACATAAACAGTAAAAATGACTGTGATTTTAATGGTAAGAACTGTGAATGTGCTAGTTAAATTCCTGGTTAACAATAAGTTTCCTTAATATTTACGGCGAATAACCGCAAATTAAATTTCCCATTATTCCCTGCATGACCAAAATGACTTTATTCATTCATTTTCCTTTGAGTAAGTCTCTGATTTATCAGAGGTCTCCACAGTGGAATGAACCGCTAACTATTCCAGCATATGTTTTACGCAGCGGCCACCCTTCCAGCCAAAACCCAGCACTGGGAAACACCCATACACTCTCACATTCATACAGACACAAATACACTCCTGCCAATTTAGTTCATTC